TGGCTTAAAAACTGCCTTGGCCTGGCCATAAATGTCACATATCAAAAGGAAAAGTGAAATTTGTGGTTGTTACGACTTAAAGGCAGCAAGCGGAAGTTGTTAAAATGAAGAGTGCATATAGCTAACAGGGGTAAATTTCAAATAATTAAATAGTTTAGAATATAGTAAAACTTTTTAATTAGTAACTATAGCAGGATATATTTACCCCTAAGACTACTTGATGATAACAGAAATTAGGAAAATTCAAGGAAGGAACATATTTGACAACTTCCGACTGTTGTTTTGGCTTAGATTTCAGTAATTACTAGTAGATGTTTCGAGTATGTTTAAAACAAACCAGAGACAGACGCAGACCACAAAAATTCCTAAAGACATTTTAATGTAATTAAATTTAAATGTCTGCATCCCGCAAATGTGCCAGAATAACAATTGAGAATAGAATATAGGCGTTTGAATGCCGCAGACAGGCACAAATCTAATAAGCATAATGAATGAACCGCAGAAACGGAGCCGCTGAGTGGCTGGTTTCGCTCAGCGTGTTGAACTTGTGCTGTCACCTGTGAAGGCAATGATGAGCAGCCCCTGGTTTCCATTTCCCCATATATATAACTTTTCTTTTCTTTTTTGTTTTCCTGTGACCATGGCCACTGGCATGTGGCATGTGGCAAATGTCTTGCAATCCACACCCCAGGCACAGGCACAGGCCCAGAGAGAGCCTGTTCTGTTCTATTCTGCTGTCGTTGGCTGTTTTGTTTAATTAATTTCTATATTAGATACACTTCATTAAAAATGCCTAGGATGGGGTCTGTGTGTGTGGTGTGTGTTCTATTGTTGTGGGTTATTTTTGGCAATTGAAAGGAATTTGGTGATTGAGCAGGGCAAATGTGGCTCGAATGAGATCTGTGCCAGAGAGATATATATACATACTCGTATACAGATTTGCAGCCTAATGGCTTGTAAGAGATCTACGGCATGCATAATTCACAAAATGTGTCCGGAACCCTCCCAGAAAACACCTTCAAGTCAAGACCCATTCCCATTGCACCAGTCCATCTGTCAACTCCCTCCATCATCCATCCAGTACTGGCTGTGTCGGAGCAATTAACGCACTTTGAGCCAAGCTGAGCCTGAGTCTAAGCCTGTGACTGTGCCTGAGCCTGAGCCTATGACCAGGGCCAAGAGGCGTTGTTGAATTTGGGTCAAGAGGGGCTAAGCAAAGTGCAGCTCTGAAGTTCGGGGGCATGCATTTAGTCGTCGCCGGCATAATGAAATGCATTTCAGCCCTCATTAGGCATGCCATTTCATGAAGCTCCTCCTGATTCCGACTCTCTACCTGAGCGGATTTTAGCCCTCGAGTGAGTGAACGAGAGTGCCATTCAAGTGCAGCTGGGGGAGGGGTCTTTAATTGGCCCAAAAGGTGGCAATAATTGAGTCAATCGAAGTGGGAAGTGGGCAGGTGAAATCTAATTTACATAGTCTTCCTGGAAGCAATCTTGGAAGTTCTATTGTTTGAGCTTGGAGCAGGTGAAAACTATTCCAGGAATTTGTAATCAAGAGCCTTACTGACTTATGATCTAATTAAAAGAAGTAAACCTCTAGTTTATTTAAGTTTTCATTGTAAATTTAATAGTGCATAACTGCCAACAGCTCTCTCTCAGAATTGATTTAAAGAAGCCACCTTTCTTATTCACTTTGCCATGTTTTTGCATACAATTAAAGGGGGGTTTTTTTTAATGCAACTTTGATGTTTTTCTGGCCACGCACAAAAGTAGAAGTTTTCACCTGCTGTGGATTTTTTTGGAAGCAGCAGCAGCAGCAGACACAGCTACCAAGTAAATAAAAACTTTTGCGGTTAAAGTTTTTCAGCCTTTGTCTTTTTTTGGGCTGTGTAAAATGCTTGCAGTAAATGCAACCAACCCGGTTGCCACCTACATAACGCCGCAAAATGGACTTCTCATTCGTGTGGCATTTTTTGGCACTTGCCACAATGGCCACGTTCCGCTCTCACACTCGCAGACACTGGCGCATTCCGTGGCACTTTGCTCCGAGCTCCGAGCTCCTCCTCCGAGCTCCTCCCTCCTCGATCTCGGAATTCTCGGAGACCACTCTTCCATATCATGGCTGTCCTGTGAGGGGGGCGTGGCTGCCACGGCTTTTTGGCAGCGACAACTTTGCTTTGTCATGTGCAATATATTTCTTTCTCGCCCCGGCAACTGTGCTGTGCGGTGGCACAGTATCTTTTGTTTAAAAGCTGCCACTGTGGCACTCGTCTAGGCAACTCGATTTTGCCACATTCGATTTCATTAACCTACTCATGCTCATTGGCTTTTTGTGCACATATATTTATATATATTAAAAAGAGTTATATGAACCAGAATTTAAAAAGTTTCAAGACAAATGTCCAGCTTATTTTCATTTTATTGTAATCAAACATATTTTCTATTGGGAAGAAGATATATTATTTAATGAAACATTCAAACAATATAGTCTCCACCTTTTTTCTTTTTTTTTGTAATTTAGTAAAAATATAATAAAATCTTCATTTTGAACTGTTTGAATAATTTAAATTTAAAGTTGCCACTTTGCATTTAATGTAGCCACTTTGATTGCCACAAACATGAAATGGCAACGCTAAACCATCAATGCAGCAACTCTCTCTTTCAAAAACTATGAATCTTTGAAACGATATTACCTTGGGAACAACCTTAACACTATCGCTTAACGCACTTGGCTCAAAAACGATAAAATAGTATAGCCTCTATAATCGATAGTGCCCTAGAAGAAACCCTAAAACCCTTCTCGACCGCAGTAACTTTTAAAAGTGTCAAAAAGGATTGCTGTTTCAAACCGATAATGCTTTGAGTGTTACCCTTTATCGAAGTAGGCTCTGGAATGTAACAATCGAATGTCATTTAAGCTTGTCAAAGCTGGACGCAAAAATTTTCATTCGTCTGTGAGACGTCTTACCGTAAAGTACACCTATTCTAAAACAAAACCCACAACAGTTACATACAAGGAAAAAAACAAAAAAAAATTTTGTAAACTTCCAAAAGTAAACTCGTGTTGTGTTCTGGTTTCTACCGTGTTAACTTTTACCGTGTTACCTTCTACCGCGTTTGTACAACGAGTTATCAATTGCTGTGTTCTTAAGCAAATTTCCTGTTGCCACGCCACCGGCTTTTGATTGATTCGAACATTCTCGCAGTATTTTCGCACACGTCTTTCGTATACGTTTTTGAGGATCCACGGCCGCAACATGAATAATTTGAATGCCAACGCGAGTGCCTTCTTGTGGCACAACCCACCGTCGATGCAGCAGCAAGCGCCCGTGCAGCAGCAGCAGCAGCAACCGCAAGCGGTGCAGCAGCAGCAGCAGCAGGCTGTGCAGCAGCAGCAGGCCGTGCAGCAGCAGCAGGCGGTTGTGCCGCAAGTGCAGCACTTGACCACGGGACAGCTGCTCCATGTCCCGACCATGCAGCAGCCGCGCAAGTTTGGCAACAAGAGTAACTACAACTATGTCCAGAGCCAGGCCGGTGCCATGATGAGTCCCGGCAATGGCGGCGCCGGCGGCGGACCCATTAACTCCTATGGAAGCTCCCCGGGTCTCTATCGCAAGCGTTATCCGATCAATGCCTACAACACGGGATGCTATCAGACCAATGGTAAGAAACAGCAATGGCTTCTATAAGTTTTCTTCTTCGCAAGTCTCAGTTTTCCATGGAAAATTTTCTTCTGAAAATATTTTTCCTGCATTGTCATGGTGCAGCAAGAAAACCTAAGGGTTGCCTTGTCATATTTTGTCAGTTGCAACTCTACTCGAAAATTTCTTTTCTGTTTGACAAGTAAGAAGTCTGGTCTCCTTAATCAAAAGGGCTTTTATATATATAAAGCAATAATAATTTTAAAATTCTAAAATGTGCTATGTAGCTTGAAATCTTTATTTTTAACAAAGAATATTTGATTTCTCTATTTAAAAGGGTCTATAATTATAATATTTGTATGTTCATTTATATATATGTTCTGTTCCCTAGTAATATTTATATAGGCGATTTGAATACTTCTTTCCTTTATTTCTTACCCTTTCAGGGTATAATAATTTCAGTCAGAAGCTCAAAAAATAGTGAAGGAGGCATTTCCGACCCTATAAATCATATTTATTCTTGATCAGCATGAACAGCCGAATCGTTTTAGCTGTCTCTGACAGAAAAATAAAATGTACCAATTTTTTCAAAATTTTATAAGGGGTTACATCGTTAAAATTGTCAAAATTTAAAAAAAAAAAAATTTATTTTTTTCTATTTTAAAGCTGAACATGCAGATTTGTTTTCCCTGCAAAAAATATCACAAAGCTATTCGAATTAAAATTAATGCCTTTTTGGCTTAGTTATGGTATTTGAAAAATTACGATTTTGTTAAGAAATTAGCATATAAAGATATATATAACATATTTACTATACCAACAATATACGAATACCAAAAAGGCAATGATTGCCAAAGACTGCATTTAAAATCGTAATAAAGAACAAAACATTTAAAGAAAAAATCCGACAAAATGTAAATTGTTAAAAATGTCATTTTTACTTTTCCAATTTTGCATTCATTTTTTGTTTTTGTAGTACAAAATAAGTGAATTTCTTCGACAGATGACTCTAGCAACAGCATTATTATTATTAAATGCTCTCAACGTTGCAACAGTGTTGTTTAACTCTTTGTCAACACTTAAACAGAGTCGTTACGTCTACAGTGTTGTATAATTGAATGCTGTAAACGTCACAATGGAATCCTTATGTATAAATCCCCCATCCTGTTATCCAACCCTTATGCAACATTTGTCGCTAAACGCTGTTCAACACAGATGAATTATTCAAATTGAATTCTTGTACCACTCACTCACTGTTCGAATTGTTAAATACTATATATATATTTTCTTTTTTTTTGTGCCATCTTTTCAACGATTGCACAAATCATTAACTTTGCTTATTTTCCTTTTGTCTTTTCAGGTAAGTCGCTGTTTTCTATACCCGAAAATGTTGTTATGCTTGAGAGCCGTAAGTACATTTGAAACTAGAGCACATTTCAAACACGAGCACACACAACACACCACACACCATACACCACACACCACACTCCACACTTATACCTTACACTTAAACCTCTACACACACCCCTCACCCACACTGCAAACACAAACAAACAAAACAAATACACACACGTACATCAACATTTGCTGATCGAATCAATCATACGTCCTGTGGGCCCTGGGGAGTGGGAGTTTTTGTGATGAAATGTAAACGGTGAAATTAATTTCCCATTGAAAAAAGCAGAAACGGGGGTGGCTGAAGGGGGTGGCTGAAGGGGGTGGCTGAAGGGGGTTGCAAAAGTTCAATTACAAAATAAAACAATGCATCTGGGCAAAAATGCAAAGATCAAAAGATGCTAGCGCCAAAAAAAATTTCCATCTCTATGCGAAATTTATTTTCTGCCATTAATCAATTTCGCTGCTGTTCGGTTCGGTTCGGTTCGATTTGGTTCTTATTCCAAGTTTTCCTGGCCAGCGAAATGCAATTTACATTTTTATTTTTCCTTATTTTGTCTTCCATGAATTTTCAATTGCATTTTCCTTGGCGCTTTTCTTTGTTTATATCTGAGCTCCATTAACATTTCTATAACGATGACGTTGCTGCGTAGCCGTCGTCCAAGATTTTCACGTTTCTCCTTTGGCAGTCATTTATATATAATATTTTTTGTTCTTAGTTTTCCATTTCTTGCGGGCCATTTGCATAATTTTCAATGTCCGCAATTTTCATTCAAAATGTCAAATTGTCTTGGCTTTAGACATTTATCCCGCTGTATTCATATACAGTCTTTAAGCCTTTAAAAAGGGTGTAAAGGAAACATTTAAATTGTTAAATACACACCGCTGTAAATTTAATCCAGATAATTGTTGCATTTAAAATATTTGCTAGTCACTTAATGTTATGGCTCATTTTCTTAATCGTCCAATGCCTCCTCCGCTGTCATAAAAATATGAATATTTGTTTCGCTCAAGATGAGCAAGCCGTACGAATTTGCACCATAATTAAAATAAATGCTTTCAATGGCCAATAATTGCCAAATAAATTAATTTTAATTGCAAAAAGCCAGCGGGTGGCGGCAAGGCGGCATAAAATAAGCTAAAAATATATTTCAAAGTGGCCAAAATTAAAGTCTATAGAGAAAGTAAAGCGGCGCAGTGGTCCATCGCATGCTCTCTGAATTTTCCTCTCTCTCTGGCTTTTTATTTTTAAATGTTTCGCTTTTGAGACTGCCCAATGCGAGCAGTGCCACGCCCACTGTTCGCACCACCACCACCACCGGCACCACCACCACTCGGTGGCGGGAGCAGCAGATGTCGCTTATTTGCAGGTGGGATGCCAAAGCCAAAGACGCTGGCAAAACACTTAAAAATACATAAAAATACCAATGGGGGGAAATGGAATGGGCTGGTGTGTGTGTTTGTGTTTTCGTGACATATTTATGGTGAGTGTGATGCTACCCAAGATTGTTTTCCATGGGATCAGCGGCCAAGTCACTCGAAGATTTATGTGGGCGTTCATTAAACGCACCACACATCCGTCCGTCCGTCCAATCACTTAGTTAATATGGCAAATGCCTCGGAATATTTGCATCTGATGGTGGCTTCCATCTCCAGGGTTGTTTATATTTACTCTGCTGCTGTTGTCCCAAAAAAATAATACACTTTCCTGCCTCATATCCTCCTTATAGTGGCTTAATTTTCTGGCATTATTGCCTTGAAGAGTGAGTGGGTGGCATTTTATTTGCCTTTTGGGTCTGATTGTTGTGGCTTACTTTCGCTGATTGACAGCGCATTTCCTTCGCTGTATGCGTGTGTTTGCTTGTCTTTTGGTCTTGGCCAATATTTACTTTCCTAATGCAGTTTTCCTCCTAATTGCGGCTTAGTAATTGCTTTGCTGCTGCGGCTACCGAAAATTAATTAAATTAACTTTTCGCTGCTTTCCTGAACTGGTGTACTGTACCGAAATATTATATGGCATGGCAAATATATGTATATATAAATCCTTTTTGGTACTGTCAGGCCGTAAATCTTGTGGTTTCAACCCAAACCATAACTCGGCCAAAAAAGAGACATCTTCCCACAATAAATTCATGGTGAAATCCAATAATTTCGCTTGGAGAGGCAGATGATGATGATCATCATCAGCAGCGGCAACATGTACAACAATAACCGGCAACAACCGCAGGCCGCCTGTCCAAAAATATAAATTGTGTTGCTCGCATTTTATGGTAATTCAATAAATTGAAAATGACAAATTGTGTCATGTTGCGGTCACTGAATTGGCAGACCAGAAAAGCCTCCAAAAAAACCCCTTGCCAGGGATAATTAAATCTATGTTTGGGCATCAATAAAAGTTGCAAATGGTTTTTAAAGTCGCTGCCAGGACGAAGCACCGCACCGACTGATGCTCTCTCTCTGCGTCTCTGTGTCTCTGTGCTCTATGTCTCTGTGCATGGCACATCAATCAATCAAGGACGATCAATCAAATCGTTGTCAACAGCGGCGCACGCAGCTAACGATGAGTTCGATGTTGCCGCTGGCTGCTGTCGCTAGATGGCGTGTCGAACAAGAACAATGTCGTCGCCGGGTGAACTTTCCTCCTTAACTACACATCCACCCACTTCCTGGGAAAATATCCTGGCTGGGCTCCTACCCCCTAACGAGCGCTAATGGACACCAGTCCGCCAGGAAACTATTGAGCCGAAATTGCAAAAGAGGAGGATATGGTAACTTTGCCACTCCACGCAATATTGCGTCGATTATCTTCAATCAAAAGCTAGTGATTGATGACTGCGACGACTGGCTGGACGTTGGGCTATATCCGGTGGTGCCATAAGGGTGTATTTTAAATTTTCCCCCCACCGATCCGTCCAGCCATTCATCAGCGTCGGTATTAAACCTTAAGCTTTATTGTTTGCCATTTTGATTATTCTTGCAATTGATTCATGCGAAGGTGCTACAGTCCCATTTATGCGAGTACATTTGCATTTAAATTATGCTTTATAGTATAACAAAGTTTCCTTTCGCTTCAATTCGAGCTAATTTTCTTTCTTATGAACCATGAAGATCGACCATCCATCCGCCCCGTTGACAGCAGTTGCTTAATTTATGCAGGACGCAACAGCGGCTGCTGCTGCTATTACATCTTTCCCCCCCAACTTTTTTGTACCCGCCGTAATAATTTGTAATTAATTTAGCAGCTGGCCCGGCCCAACACAGCTTTAGGAAGCACGAAATAATATTTAAAAAAGCAAAAAAAAAGTACGTAAAGTGGCAGCAACTTTTGGTGTAATTTTCCAAAGCAATTAATTGGACATTTTGCTAATGCGTCCGCCACTTGCACTTTTTTGCCCTCTATCCGTCTTTCGCTTAGAGAGAATCGTGCAATTTGCCAAATTACAATATCTAAAAATGTGTCCCCCAGCTGCACATCGCACATAGAGTACACAGCACTTTGCCATGGCTCCATTTGGCTCTTTTTCCTTATTGTTTGTTATATTTTTATGGCATTATCGATTTTCGCTTTTCCACTGCTGATAACTTTTTCGTTTTTTTCGTGGGTGGGAAAACTGAAACTAAACTTTATCAAAGCAAAAACTAAGTAACGTAAACGAATTTGTTATTAGAGAGAAAGCGTTGCTGCGCAATTCAAAGACTGGCGGGGGGGGTGGAAGATAGTTTGGTTTTCGGGTATGAAATATCATAAATGCAGGGGTCATATATTTACACATCGGGCAGGCGAGCTCCATTAACTTGGAAAAACGCTTCAAAATGTCGCCTGCAACCGCCACCCACAGAGTCAATACATCAACCACAACAAACAAGAGCAATCACACGGGGGGAAGTATGAGCAGGAGGAAAGGGAGGTGATAGGTACGAGGTTGGCCAATAAAGTTTTTCCAATGTGTAGTGGTGCTCCTCGAAGCCAGCTTATGTCGCATTGAGTACCCTCGCCTCTTGAAATGTCATTGAATGTATTTTTAATACCCATTACTTGGGGCAGTAGGGATATTCTTAGTTCATGTACTAGTTTTCTACATTTTCCTTAGCTTCTAGCCCTAGAAAGTATGCTATATTTTCACGAAACTAAAGGGATATTTCATAGTCTATATAAAATAATATTTGCTGGGCTTGACCCTTCGCTGCAGCTGTGCCAAAGCCCGAATAGAGTTATTCAAGGAGCTCATGGGCCAAGAACACTCCAACCGATAAGTGGGCCGACGAGTGGGTGTGACAGTGCGGACACTGATTGCACATGTGTTTGCATGCCATTAAAGCGACTGCGGGGGACCCCCAATGTTTACCAATGCGATAATTAGGCGAAACCCAGGCCAGGAGACGAGGCCAAAAGAGGCCAAACTAAAGGCCAAGCCGTGCCAATTTGCCATGTACACACACTCGGTTGTGTGTTGTGTGCATGTGTGTGTGATTATGAATTATATTATAAATCCCCACAAGCAGGGTTGGTCGCTATCGCTCCTGTGAAAGCCACCCAACTTGAATGCCATTTTGCTGCTTCTAATTATGTTATCCTCAATGTCCTTGCGTTTGCGTATTTGCTCGCGTTTCGTTGTTGTTTGCAAGACACAAACCGCGGCGAGCAAACAGACAAACAAACAGCAATTACATGCGTTCATATTATTCAAATCTGCCGTAAATGTAATTAAGCTCTGGAGAGTTTAGGCGTAAATTTATTTCCGCGCTCCAAGTTGTCGTTGTCGTAAAAAAATCCGCAATCCTTTTTCCAACCCCATTTCCCACTGCCTTGCCTGTTGGCTTTGCTTATCGGTACTAATTTCTTTGGAAGAATGGAGGCCTGCGTATCGCATATAAATTGGCTCATTGCCGTGGGACCTTGTCCTCGTCGTCCTCGTTCTGGTCTCTGCGCTTCTTGATTTCTTTTTGATAAGTCCCTCCACCATTTCCGCACCATTCGAATTCAGTTAAAGGATTAAATCCGTGCGGCAAACGGTTCTATATATTTTTTTTCTGTATTTTTTGGGGGGCCACATTAAAAACCAATCAGGCGCATTGTCACATAATCAACCCCCGCTGAGCATCGGAGTTTTTCCAGAGCTTACATGCGACAGCACACAGTGTGCTTACTCGCTTGCTTTTCCACACAATCTTTTCTCCGCTCTACAATGATGATTATTTTTTATAAGCTCTAGCTCGTCTCCTTGGCTGTGGCTCTCTTCTGGGGTTCATCGTCGTTTGGCGCTATCATGTCACACACACAGGGGGACAACTCTTTGCCAGCATAATAGTTTTGCTTATGAAAACAAATTCAATTTCGAAGCTGCTTATGGAAATGTTTATGCAAGACGTGAGCGCAAACTGTGCGCAGTGCGGGGGAAAATTAATGTCACATGACGGAGCGAGAGCACGAGAATCGGGGCGAGGGAAAAATCAGATGGGTGGAAAGACAGGGCGTGGCAGTGGATGCAACCAGATAAACGGGACAGTAGCAGCAGCAGCATCACGACTCTTGGCATATTTTCCGAAGTACAGTTGAGTTCGTTCTCCTAAAGTTGACTCGTAACAAATTGAAAATCATTGAACGCCTGGGGAAAGGGGATGCCACTGCCAGCTGAAAAATATTGTAGCATACATTTAAGCAAATTGCAATTAAGGTGAACGAGCTGAGAACGACAACAACGACGATGACGATGGGTAACCGGAGAGGGAATACATTTTGTTTGTTTGCCAGCCATTACCTTGTTCATTGGACCGACTCTCTCGTATCCAATTCCTCCTCTTCCCTGCTGACAAAGTGTGCCAATACGCCACAAAGTATGCAACAATTTGCAGCATAAATACTTTGTGTTCCTGCAACCGCCCTCGCATCCATATGGGCGGCGTGCTTTTATTTGTCTAGCTTTCGGTGCACACCACCACCACCCCCAAGTCACCATCCCACGCAGAGGCTGAGTTTTAATGGATTTCTGTGCCGCACGCTTTGTGGTTTTCCTCGACGGTTGAAGTGCGTTCTTTGTTGCACATCCTTGCAATTTTTCACTACTATTTTCCCCGTTGGAACTGTTGCAACAATACTACATATTAAATTTCCATCTATATGTTTAGTCCACTAACCAATTTGTGAGGTGGCACAAAACTTTTCCCTAATTGCACGAGCCAACAAAGCACTTAATCGCGACACACGTGTCGTATACGTAATCCGCACAGCAAACATTTTCTGTATGCAAATGACTGCGGTTACTTTGGCACACACACCACACACACACACAGTAACTTAAAGCTCCATAAAAACGGAAACTAAACTCCAACTTCCGCCCAAACCCTAGACCTTACCGAACAGCACATAATCTAAAATAATTTGTGCGCGCTGAAAATTTACACCTGCTCAATTTTCCAGCGCTCCTTTTCGACGCCTTTGCGTGTGAAGCATTTTCCAGCAATTGCATGCAACAATTCCCTCGAATGCTTAAACATTTTAGGCACGCTTCCGACGACGCGTCCAGCCGGGGGGCGTGAATTTTCTTTGCTTTTCTACTAGTTTTTGGGAGTGGGGCGAAGCTAAGACTCTTGGGCAGCTGCTTCTTGGCCGGCATCACGCATACGCCCCGTGTTGTTGCGGGAAATCAGCAAGGGCCGTGAATTTCAATTAAAGACCGAAGCAGCGGGAGCACTCGAAATGAATAACTATGTTTTTCGTTGCCCAGAGTGTGTGTGTGTGACTCCGGGCCACAGTTTATTCCGAATTGTTATTGACTGTAGGTTATATATCGAAGGCTGTGCTGTGCTTGATCGAGGGCGGCGTAACCCAAACATTTTCGTTTCGCAAACCGCTCGAAGGATTATTTACTTATGACCAAGTTGGGGTGAATTGAAACGTGCCTAGCCAAGTTTTGGCAACTTGGCCGAATGCTTTAAAGTTTGCACGTAAATTCGAAACGGATTAAGGGCTTGTGAAAAATTGCATCAATTTGTGTTGTTTGCATGGGGCGCGGAAAAAACAGCAGGCAAACAGAGCCAGCATAAAAATGCCAGGTTTTTTTCCAAACACACACACCTACTTGTTTTCGCACCAACTCCGCTTCGGTGTGTGTTGAATTTTTATGCAAATATTTTGTCAGGTAGCCCCAAAGTCCAAAATAAACTAGCCATGACGAGGACGACTCCCTGATGCGCAGCCACAGCTAGCAGGGATTCGGTTCGGGGATCCCGGGGATCCCGGGGATCCTGTGCTGCTTTGGCTTTGCCTTAGCCTCGACGTGGTGCAACTAAATCAAATCAAAACAAAAACAGCTCCGCAATGGCAACTCGGGCAGCCATTTTGGCATAACAAGCGCCATGCAAATTGAGTTCCTGACGTGACTCCGTCACACTTGCCACACTTGTGTGCGGCAACTTTGCGAGTGATTAGGTTAGTGTGTGTTTGCCCAAGAAACTCTCACACTCTCTCTTCTGGGCTGACACTTTTAAAGTTAATTAAATGCCTGCCTTGGCGACATTTTGACAGTTTTCTGCCTTTAATTGCAAGACGTCGACTGATTTTTTTTTTGTTTTTGGGGAGATCCCATAACCAGAAGCTGCCGTCGCATGGAAACGGGCTAATACCAATACGAGTGGGAGCCACACAATGCAACCGCCATAAACCAAAACACAAAATGGAGGCCAGAACAGCGCAGACCAATTTCGGGGGCTCTATGCCGGCGAATTGCTAGTATCGTGCTAGTTCTCTTTTTTCTGCGCCTGCCAAAAATTCAATTAACTTACATGCCAAACCACAGCCGGCATAAAAGAGGCACCACTACCATCATCGCCATCGCCATTGCCATTGCCATTGCCATTGCCATTGCTCTGGCACCGCCCTCTTTCATTGCCTTGATCCGGCAAAACCGCAGCCAAAAATGTCAGAACGCTTGGTCCTTTCGGGATGTCTGTGAGCCGGGTTCTCGTGGTTTCCGTTTTCGGTTTTTGGGGTTTTGATATTAGAAGAGAGAGAACTGAACGGGTTTTCATTTTGGGTATTGCCTTACTTCCTCCTGCTCATTCTTCACATGCAATAACAACAATAACAATTTATATTTTTGCTTAGCTTTAAGTTTAAGTTAAAAAAAAGAAACCCCCAAATAATTGGCACAACTAAAAAAGAACATATTTTTACCTTTTTTTTTGTTTCTTTTCATTTATGATTTGCTATCGCTTATTGTTGTTGTTGCATGCTTTAAATAACAAACAAACACAAAATATGCACAGTTACACCACAACATCAACAACAACACCACCACCACCACCACCAACAACAACAACAACAACATGTACCCCAACAACAACAACAACAACATCACCAACAACAACAACAACAACATCACCATCAACTAGTTGCCCCAGCTCAATCGCACAATCTTTGTCAATTTAAAGAGCCACCGCTATTGGGACCAGGCGCCGCCTTCCCGCCATTCGGAGCACCCGAATATCATACCACCACACCGGAGAACTGGAAGGGTGCCGCCATCCATCCCACCGGGCTGATGAAGGAGCCAGCCGGAGTTGTGCCCGGACGCAATGCTCCGGTGGCCTTCACACCACAGGGCCAGGCTCAGGTAAGTATTTGTAGTAAGGGAGTTCAAAAAGGTGGCTGAGTCTGCTGCTCAGTTGTAATTGTTATTTGTCCACAATTTCTGATCCAAGACTTTCCGCCTTGCTCTCCTGGCCAAGACAGAATTTTAATTAACTCTCCTTTTGTCCTCCTACCTTCCTTCCTGTTGCGGTTCTACTTGCTGCTCCTACCAGGGTGCCGTCATGATGGTGTATGGCCTGGACCACGACACTTCCAACACGGATAAGCTCTTCAATTTGGTTTGCCTGTACGGCAACGTGGCAAGGGTAAGTTTGACCTCAACCAATTTAAATACTATTTAAAAATGGGAAAACCAAAAGATAAACAATATTCGATTTCATTTTGGTAAAAGCCGAAATATGGATGTAATTAAATATTTGACAACTGTCAATTGCAAGGCTTTAAATCCGAAAAATATGCCCAGATTTATGGTTGATAAATTCCATAGACTTTAAATTGAGCAAATTATATTATTTATGAGTGAAAATGCGAGTTCGTAAATTTAAACTGTCAGTTGCATTTCCCCGAAACGGAGTTTATTAACTGGAAATTGCTGAAAATTAAATGGTTTTAATTATTTGAATTCCACGAAATTGCAAAATATTTGGCAATTGGTCTCGAATTCCCAGAAAAATCTTGATAAATACGCCTTTTTACAAATTTCTACTTCACCAATATCCAAAAATATTTATCGTATCGTATCTTTCAAGAATTCCTAGAAAAGCTTTTAAGGAAATGTAAACCTTTTATTTCATATGACCAACTGGGACACTATTATGTATTTTTTAAAGCAAACTAAAGTTAGGATCCTTTTTAAATGCTCCTTAAACTCCCTGCACTTGAGGGAACACACTTGCCATTATCATGTGGCCAAACCCTTTGCTTATGACCTTTTCGATTGTAAAAAGAAAAGCGAAGAAAGAAATATCCTCAACGTGCACTTAGCCAGAAAGCTGACGAAAAAAAATAGAAAGAAAAGGAAGCCAGGGGAAAAAAAGAAAGGAAAATACGCATTTCATTGCCGCCGTTTTGCTTGGTTGTCAGCACTTTGCGGCAAAATATCGGCAGCGAGGAGAGAAAAAAAAGGTGTTTTTGAGTGGGAAATGCCAACCGCAAGAGTTCTTTGTGTCTCTGTGTGTGCCATTTGTAAATGCGCAAATAAAACGAAAGGCAATAAAAGGACGAGGCCAGACCGAGAACCAGACCCAGCCAGGACACGGACACACCAAAAGTCCGTACTCGTAGTAGGCCAGAAACACATTTAAATAAAGCGTTTTAGATTAATATCCAGCCTTTCGCCGCCATGTGGGGACGATGCCTCGGGACAGCAATCAGTGCAGCGTCATCAGCTTTATCTATAGGGGCGTGGCACCACCACCACCTCCTCCTTTTGAGGTCCTCCTCCAGCTCTTCCAGCTCCTCTTTATCCCTCTAACAATGGCAAAACGATTGGCACAAGTCGCTTGTAAATCAAAACACGATGACGACCAAAAAAGAATCCATTAAAAAGCTGTGGCGAATGGCAATTCCGAATATGTGCTCATTGTTGGTCGAAAGGAAAGGAAACAGCTCGCTTGGGGAGCATTTAGCGTAGTGGTGCTGCAGCTATCTAAGCTGGCCAGAAATAAAACCACCTAGAAAAGCAGAGAGAAAGAACGGAAAACCCCGGAAAAATCGTCCCTCGAACAATGAGCTTGTGGGTAGAGCGCCGCGTTACCCACCACCGCTAACATCAAAGTCAAATGCTAAAAACTTCTTTGGCGTGTGCCAGAGCTTTCACTTTATTGCTACTATGATTCCGGCCCCCGCCATCCCACTCTTCACATGTGTCCTGTGTGTGTGTGTCCTTTGACAATTGCGCTCACCAAGGACAACGTGGAGGAGGAGGGTTCACTTCTCGCTCCCTGGCATGTTTTGTTTAGTTTATGTCTGTGATAAAGCGAGTCAAGGCGACTGGAGACCACACAAACCACTTTCACTGCACACTGAAGTACTAGCCGGGGAGCTAAAGAGGTTAGGAGTAGTAGTAAAAAGGAGTATCCCAGAGAAAGAGAGAGGGGTTATTCAATTTTTCAAAGGAGTCATATATCGCTTAGAAATTTTCACTGTGCCCCATATACGAACGGAAATCCAGCAGAAATGCCAAGCAAATCATTTTAATGTTTAGCTGTCCTTTCAAGTCTTGAAGAAGTTGTAGAAGTGAGTTTAAATAAATACCTAGTTTTTGGTAAGGATTTAACTCAATAATTTAACTAACCTTTGGCTTATTTTATTCCAGCCAATACACCCTTATTCGGTCATTACTATTATTTCTATTTCCTACTTTCTTTCTTTTTTTGGGTAGGGGAAAGAGAAAAAAGGGATGGATGGCACGATAATTCAAGGCGCGGCGGCCATTTAGTTCAGTTTCTTTCTGGGGGGGGCGCTGGGTCTGGCACTTGCAATGGCGGTTAAAGGATGGCCAGTGGGCGGAATTTATTGCAAACTTCCTGTCCGAGACGGAAACTACTCATTAGCCATTAAAAATGATTATGCGCAAACATTATTCACTGGCCAAGCCGCAAAACGCCGCACACATTTCCCCAGTTCCCCGGCTTAAAGTCACCCCTCACTAAGTTTTTAGCCCCAACTCAATTTCTCTCTCTCTCTCCTTCCCCTGTGCTGGCCAAGTTTTTTTCCCCCATCGCACACACACATACATATATAGCATCCTTCTTCGGGTCGCTGCGCCTGTCGCTATGCAACTGTAAGTGAGTGAGTTCTCAGGGCGAAAAAGCGAGGACTGTGTGTGTGCCTCATTATAAAGTCGATGGTTTTGCACACTGATGTGCGATGTGCGATGTGCGATATGCGATGCGTGATGCGGGGGCGGGTTTGTTTGGATGTATCTGCGAGTTTATGGGCCGACATGTTTGAATTGCGAATGAGAAATTGATGGCCACTCAATCAAAGTGCCGTTGCATGGGCTTCCTTGCCAGCCTCCTCTTTTTTTCAATGGCCGCTGCTCCCCTTTGTATAGATGAGTGTTAATGGGATTCCCATGGGGCACCATTCGGGATCGTGTCTTCCCTAAATTATGGATAAACGAAGGAAGCTCTCCCACTTCCAGAGGCGGAAATACAAAGTATTCGATTTCAATAAGCCCACGGACAGGCCCTAATAGGGTTCGGCTGGAAGGAATTTGATTAACCTGCCGAAAAATGTTGTGCTAGCTGAAATTTCAAGCTAGCCCCGGCAAGCTGTCAAATATTTCCGGACTTTCCAGCACCCCAAGGGAAATTCGATTGAATTGTTTGCATTTTGCGATTTGTAATTTGCACCTATACACTCTCTACAACACTCACACCAAAAAGAAAAACAGTTTCCTTTCGTCCTTCCGCTTGAACGAAGCAATCTGGTTAATTATTTCTGGAGCCAGGGTGATGAAGTCATCAGCAAATTGATTTTCAGGTTAAATGGCATGACAAAAATAGGCCAGAAGAGAGAGCAGGGACCTTCTTTGGCAGAGGTTACGAAAAAAAAAACAGGCAACAAATGAAGAGTGTGTCTTTAAAAGGCCAACAAAATACACGCACTCAATTAAATACGCATTAAAAAAACATTTGTATACAATGTGGGGTGGAAATCAGGTTTGGAAAATTGTGGAAAATTGTGTAAGGGAGGGTGTACCGAGCTGATGGGGAGCATAGGTCAGCCATTGGAGCTGAGCGCGTGAGCAATTAAATCAAATGGCAGAGCAGACACCATGCCACATTGCACAACAAAGCAAAAGAGGGTCGCATTTTAATTAACGCAGCGCTGCGGCACAGGGATGGCCACTGGTAAGGACACGCGGGAGCCGAGCACAGCTCATTAGACACGCACCAAATGTTTGGCGCTGCTGCGGCTGTAGACCAGCAGTGACCATTCAGCCATGAATCGCTCTTTGATTTGGCCAAAAAGGGAGAAAGTCCTGCCCAGTTTTATTTGCAGGATATGTATTGAGTACACCTCAAGAAAATATCTATAAATAATAAGTTTTACCAGCTTAAATGGGTGAATAGAAGAAGTCTTAATAAGCTACAGATCATCATCAGTCTTTATACATATTTTATTCCCTACTAAACCTTATTTCGCTTATTATTTCTCTGAGTGTATCTATCCAGACTTATGTTTGCATGTTTGTAATTTCATTATCCTTTTGTTTCGAGCGATTTCAGGGGCTATCTGCTCGCTTTCTGCTTGACTGATTTATGGTCTATATTTATTTTTATACATTGTTTTGTTTTTATGATTCGTTTCGTGTCTCGGTTTGGGTTTTCCCTCGCTGGCTCTCGCCTATTCGATAAGCCTCATTTAGTTTTTATTTACTTTTGGGGAAAAACCCTCGCTCCTCACTCGTCGCCTACCAATTCATACTCCATTCAGGCGTATTCATTTTGATTGCGTCCCACTTTAGGCACACACCATAAGCTCTACAATATCTACTATAGAACGAACATATATAGTTAAATGCGAATGTGTCCGGGGGTTTGGTTTAATTATAAGCAAATTGTTTGCCCCATTTACACATGAACCGCCGCGACGGTTCCTTTTGTTTATTTTGAAATGTTTGCCAGCTCATTATACGTATAATTGGGTATGCGAAGGACATGGGTGATATTTAATAATTGAATAATTTATGAAATGAGCTTATAATTTTACCAACAAGGTCTCCTCCCCTCCCGTTTTAAGGAAAATGAGTATTGATTTTTTTCCTCCTTGTTGTTTACTGCTTAAAAACTGGAAAAACACATGGCCTCGAACGGGTGGCAATTAGCTCTCTTGGCCAAGTGCCTGCAGTCATAATTAAGTTCATTTCGACCCGAGACTGCAGTGACAGAAAAAACATACCAAAACTGAACGGAAAATAAATCAATTTCGAGTTGGGGGAACAAAAAACTGGCTTAAATTTAGCAAATGCCAAGCTCACTACTTCTCAATGCGTACAAAGGAAAAAAAGACCGACATCAATACGCCAAATTAAGGCATTTGAAAAACAAAATTGCAGCGGCCGTCGCCCAATTTGGACAGGTGCTCAGTGTCTCTTGCTTCTCTATTTTTGCAGTCGCAATTGCGAAAACTCGTTTCGGTGGGGTTCCCCTGCTCTCCTCTGGGTTCAATGCCTGCCTATTGCCAGCGGCCAGCAAATTGATTTGAAAATGAACCAAGCAACCAACCAACCAAGCGAGCGAGCGAGTGAATGAACGTAGGAATTATCCAAGCCAAGCCAAGCCAAGCCACTAGCATTTCCATTGATTTTTCACTTTCTCTCCCGGCTTTTAGAGTTCGTTTTGTAATTATTGTTTGGGGAATTATTATAGTCAATTACGTTTTATAACTTGGCAGATCGCTTTCAGTGAGGTGTGAAAGACTTTCCAGTGGAAAAGTCAAGCCAATGGTTCATAAATTACTATATTTTGTAACTTGTGAATGGAAATGAATTGAAATATACATAAATAAAAATCTTTAAAGAGCAAGAGAAATCATTCATACAATTTTCTTTTATATTGTGCGATATATTCGAGGACAACTTCACGTCTCTCCTCAATTCAATTAAAATCACTTGAAACTTTTTCGCTATTTCAGCAATAAACATTTCCCAAACTCCTAGTAATACAAGAAATTGTGTCTCGAAATGACATTTCGAATATTTGTCAAGTGAAAATCACAGGCAATGATAATATTTTCAGCTATTTTTGGCGATTGGGCACGTACACGACTGACTTTGATGACCCAATAAGGAGGGGCGGCTATAACAATTGTGGGAGTGTCTGTCTGAGAAGTAAACTCATATGTAACAAACAAGCAGCAACAGCAACAGCACACAATGAAATGAGAATTAAGGACACCATTCTGTTATATAATTGCGTTTGAAGGAAATCTTAAATTGAATTCAATGAAAATGCGAAACTCGGTTCTGCCTCGCTCCTCCCCTCTGGTAGATTGGGTTAAAAGCAACAAGAGAATTCAATCAACCTGGCTACCCCCAAAGGGGCAAGGGTCACTGGGTACACGAGGTGTGCCATAAAATGGGGCTGCTGGGGCATATAATTTAATTACACATTGAGGAGGGGGTGGACACATGGCACACACCGAAACCAGATTTAATGGGTGCCAAGTGAATGTGAGAAATATGACATATTATCAGCCAGTTAACCCTCCTCTCTCCTATCTCTCTCTCATCTTTTACAGATCAAGTTCTTGAAGACCAAAGAAGGCACCGCCATGGTGCAAATGGGCGATTCCGTGGCCGTTGAGCGCTGCGTACAGCACTTGAACAACATTCCCGTGGGCACTGGCGGCAAAATACAGATCGCATTCTCCAAGCAGAATTTCCTATCCGAGGTGATCAATCCGTTCTTGCTGCCGGATCACACACCCAGCTTCAAGGAGTATACCGGCTCCAAGAACAATCGTTTCCTATCGCCGGCCCAGGCCAGCAAGAATCGCATTCAACCACCGAGCAAGGTAAGAGATCGGATTAGTTTGGAGTATTAGGACAATATTGATAATTCCTGGTTACAGATTTTGCACTTCTTCAACACACCACCCGGATTGACCGAGGACCAGCTTATTGGTATCTTCAATATCAAGGATGTGCCGGCCACATCGGTCCGCCTGTTCCCCTTGAAGACCGAGCGCTCGTCCTCTGGACTGATTGAATTCCCCAACATCTCGCAGGCTGTGTTGGCCATAATGAAGTGCAACCATCTGCCTATTGAGGGTAAAGGTGAGATAGTGTTGTGTTTAAGTGTTATTCAAAAGATGAAAAGAATGTCAAATTTATATGTGGCCACCAATGAAAACCAAACCAAACCAAACCAAACCAACCAATCAACCTACCCACCCACTTACCAACCTTCCCCTCAAAAACCAAACCAAACACAAAATTCTCTCTCTTTCTCTGTTGCCCCAGAACACGCCCCAATAAGTAGGCAACATAAATTTTTGTTTTTCTCCTGCTCCTCGAAAAACTCCCAGCTGAACGGCAACCAAAAGTTTGGCAGCTATTTTCCATGGCCTTTCGACTTTTGGCTGTTGTGCAGCAGCAAAAGCAGCAAGCAGCCGCCGCACATCAAATTCACACCCAAAAGCACACACCCCCAGCCAGTACCACTTGTCCTGCCCCGCAATGCAAACTTTAACCTCTCCTTGTTTCTTTGCCTGCTCTTTTTCGGGCCAAAAGAACTTTTTGGTTACGCGCGCTGGCTGCGTTGAAAATTTTAATTTGGTAATTAAGATAAACAATTTCAGTTTGCAGTTATTCATAAATGGGTCGCACTCGTTGCTCTAGCCTGGGGCAGCGTTTCGCCAACAATTAGTCCCAGGACTCGCGCGGCTCGGTTACAAATGGGTTGACGACCGATATAAACTTTTCGCATAAATATTTCAGCAGCCGGAGAGAGCTGCGCAGCCCCCAAGCGAATTATATTCCACAAATTCCACAAATTTCCCTAGCTTTTCATGAGCTTGTTTACATGGGCAATAGTCATTTGGCATTCAGATGCGAAATAAGCGCTTGACATTGGCACACCTCAAAAACCGCTTATCGATTGGTAAAGAAAAGTGGCCAACTGGGGAGAGGGTTTCACTTCTATGCTCATGCATAAATTGTCGATATATCCTCGATTTGATTATTTGCCGCTCGGAGGGATGCTCTCGAGTGCATGGTAAATAGTAATTAAAAGTGTAAAGAAGGCAAACACTTGCACACAAATGCATATAGAGCCATGCCATGCCCCAGCAAACACACATGCAAATGTGAATGCAAATGCAAATGCAAATGGGAATGGAAATGAGAATGGGAATGGGAATGCAAGTGCATGTCAATAGCCACACACAGTGCGTACTTTCTGGCAGTGGAATTATGCTGCAAGCAAATATATTGCTCTTTCTCAACCCCCGCAGCAAGGTATGTGTATATTATTATACACATGTCCTTCTAACTGAGTTAACCATTCAGAGCTGGGCTGTAATTCAGGCTCTAATTGCATTGTTCGGGCGGCTCAATTCGTTTTCAAATCCCTTACTTCCATCCTTTCCTTCAGCTCCCTTAATTTCCTCACAATCGAAGACTCTTCCTGCCGAATCAATAAAACGAAATTCAAGAATATACAACACTTATACACTATACTACACAATATATAACTTAATGAATATATATATATACCATATGTGTACCTATTGTCCTATTGTAATTTCTATATGTGTTTTATACCTGCTCTCTCTTTCTCCCCTCTCTCTCTCTCTAATGTCAGGCACCAAGTTCCCCTTCATCATGAAGCTGTGCTTCTCCTCATCGAAGAGCATGAATGGAGCCTGGAACAATGCGACCAGCGAGGGCATGATCGAGAAGGAGAACGAGGTGGACACCAAAGTGGACATCTACAATTGAGATTTGATAACGATTGTGTAAGCAAAGCAAACGACATCCCAGCTTAACTATCACACAATACAGAACCACCATATATAATATATATATACCGATGAAGGAGAAGAAGCGTTCGTCGACTGACAAGCAAGAAAAAACGGAAGATAACAAGCAGGAAATAGACAAAAAAGACAACAACAACAACAGCAGCTTCTTCACGTACCGATAATGGCTTACACACTCGACACAACATCAACAACAACAACATCATCAACATCAACATCAACATCAGCAACATCATCATCCTGAAGAAAGATCGCTGCGACAGTAACTGATGATTATCCGAAAACGAATTGAATACGGCAAATTGATTACAATTACCAAGAACAATTAACAATTAACTAACTAAAACACTTTAGATGACAGCAGTGCGACAGCTAGATGTCCTAGCTAGTAACCAAGCATCGCAAACGCATGTAACTTTTCTACGAGCCATTTTTGCATAGACTTACTGAATTCACCCCAAAAGACAATTCAGCTTATTACTATGACAATGCAGCCTATGTACGATATGGCCTCGTTCAAAAGCCAAAACAGGATAATGAACACACAATTCTTGATATGATGTATACACGTACACACTACATTACATTACATCCCATTATATTACATGCGTTTGTGTTGGATAGAACAACAACAACAACAAAACATGCAAAAAAAAAATGCAAAAGCAAAACAAAAAATTTAATTGTTATTATTGTTATAAAGAGAAGATGAAGAAGCATTAGGACTTTCTCACAACAACAAAAAAAGTAAAAATAAAAGAAGAAATCCAACCAATTGTAAACTATGATGTAATGCTTGATTGATACAAAAACCCCAATACAAACATAAACCAAAAACAAGAATAAAAATGATTAAAATTGTAAACGAAACCATGTTAGAGTAACTACTAAAGAAATTCCCTGCACCTGGTCCTATATCCTTCCATAATCCCCTCAATTCCCATAATCCCCCAATTGTCCACCTGGCAGACACTTCTGTATAGTTATATATGTGTAATATGATTTCGATTCGGATACGAGTGTATTTATGTAACAAAAAGATACATTTCTTTGGACAATATTTCGACAAGTATTCGGGCGTGAGAAAAAGTCTTAACAAACAACAAAAAATATTTATTGCAAGGATATAATATTTGTGTAAATTAAAACCAAAAATTTAGCAATTTTAAATAAAATTTATTAATTTTAGTTATGCAAAACAAAAACAAATAAGAAAAGAAAAACGAAACGAAACAAACTTGCAGCGGCAGTTGATTTTAAATTTCTTACTTTAACGAATATATAAATTACTAACAAACAAGATAGAGAGGAGGGAACCGAAAGGAAATAAAAACTTGCACAAGCCAATGTTTTTACTAATTAAAACAAAACAAGAAAAAGACAAGACGATAAACATAATTTTTGTGCTTAATTTACAAAGTTGAAAAAGGCATAAATTTATATGTAATGAGCTGTATTTGTATTTACATTAAATTTAATTTTAATTTACACTAAATGTAAAAAGCGAAATAACTAAAACAAAAACAAAACAAAAAACCACAAGCTAAGGCAAAACAAAAGATTAAAAAAACTACAAGAAAATATTTAGTAAGTGCAAATTGAAAAGAGAGAGCATCTAGAGCATAGTTAAGCAGCATCGTTCAGACATGCAGACAGCAAAAAAACATACAACAAACAAAACAACATATTTTTGAGGCGTTTTAAAATTAGAAGACACAGAGCCAAACATTTCAGAACTCCAAGTGAAGTTAGCAAAGCAAAGCTACTACTAAAGATGATGATGGTGAGAGGGCGTATTGCAAATGCGTATAAAAGTAGGCGAAATGTATTGAAAATCAAGATGAAAATTGAGTAAAGAATTCAAATATCAGCAATAAAGCAACGGCAACAACACCATATCAAAGGCGTATGTTAGATTACCTATAATAATAACGAAATTAACATATTAAAAAAAAAAGATGCAAATAATGTAATACCATGAGAGATGATAACCCATGAGTTCATTTGAGTTGTATGATTTTATGTTTAGGCCCGAAGGTCAGAACACAGGAAGGTCCTTGTTCTTGATATATATATATATATATATATATATATATATATATATATATATATATATATATATATATATATATATATAATACATTTGTTTTTATTGCAAATCAACGAATTCACACACAGAGACACTCTCACACACACACACAATGCTAGGGCCGCTAAACGAATTTTCTTCACACTTCCTGTAGTTCAAGGCTTGACACAATCGTTAGGCTTCCTCCCATATGTATGAGATCATTCATATTCATTCATTTTATGCTATCGACTAAACTACATATATGTGCAATTTGGGCTTTAAACGAATCTTCGTTTGTTCTATTTAATTTATTGCAATTTTCTCATTTCGTCAACTAGTTCGTGTAATTATTTCAAGTGTCTTTTACAGTCTTAGTTATTATGTAAATTGTTTTTTAATCCTTAACTGTAAAATATTCTTGCTAAAGATTAAGTATTATTGTACTTAATTTTAAAATGATTATCATGGTTTAATGACACAAACGGGAACTAATTATACAGCAAAATGCAAACAATCTCGTTAATAATTAATTATTAAATATTAATTTGTAAGAAGATAAAGCAACAACGATCTTGAAGCTCCTAATTAGATCATAATCGGATCAATAAACCAACCTACTATAATACAATAATATATAATATAAATTTACATAACAAACTTGGTAGCTATTTAATTTACAATTATATATATATACGAATTATAATCAGAATTTTTATTGTTAATAGTTTTATTCGACACTTAACACAATTGATTTTGTGTTTATTCTTTCATATCTTTAATTTTGTATGCGTAAAATAGAGACAAATAAATATATTTATATATTTAGCTGATGGTTTTCGTTCGGCGACTTCAGTTGAATATATAAAGACGTAAACATATATTTATGCGTGTATTTATATATGATTTGTTTTATTTAATATTTAAATTCTGTTGTTATTTTTTAAAGCGTATTTTTTAAGCCCAGAGTTTGTAACATGCGCGCTCATTTTTTGATATAAATATATATATATATATAAATATGTAAAAGTATCTGGCAGTCGCATTTTTATTTTGATCACCCAAAAAACACACACACACAGTCACACTCCCACACACCATCATCATTATTTTATGTCATGGTTTTTCTTTTTGTACATTCGAATAGGAATTGAAGCGTGACAAATAACTTGCTTTTGAAACTATAGAGAACTCGCAGAGCATTTAAGGCAAAGTATAGTTTAAAGGCATCCTAAACGCACATCCGATTCATTTACTTTATGGGCATAACGAACAGCAAACTAAAGAAGAGTAAACCTTAACTAAATTATATGCCAAATAATCTATAGTGTTATCCTGAATTTTGAACATATCAAAATTTTGAAGAATTCAAATGTAAGGGCCTGAGTTTTGAAATTATACAATTTAGGCATTATTAATGTGTAAACAAGAAGAAAAGACCCCGAGCACTTTTCAATATTAAAAAACAAAGAAACCAAAAAAGGAAAACTGCAAAAAGACATAATCCCTACAATCCTTTACGAAAACGCCAATAAGAATTGTATGTAAGCATATACAGAAACGCAAAAACAAAAACAAACAATATAAGAAACCCAATGATAGGCCTAAGACTTAATTTATAATAATAAGTATAATTACTTTAAAGTATTATTTGAAAAAGAACACAATTTAAAAAAAAAAAAAAACGAAAACCAATTCGATAACTAGGAAAATTGTTTAATTTCCTTTGCGCCTATTTTCTGAAATCGAAATTTAGCAAGAAAATAACCTCTAGTAGCAATTATTTAAATTTAATTTAAACGCATTCGAAATTAAATAAAAGCAAAAATTAGTCAAATTTCGTTAAACAATTTTGTTGAATTGAAACAATCAATTGAAGAGAGATAAATCATTTAAAGGTTGTCAACGACAGACAAGATCTTGTTACGCAGACGAAGGCCTTCCGAGTCCGCTGGCTTTTGCTAATTGCTAATTGCTAATTGCATGTCCTTTTTACGTAGCAGTTCCTTTTTTTATGCGTTCCCATTACGTTTGAATTACGTTTGCAATTGCCTCGTAGTTTTCAACTCCAATAAATACCAAATGCGCATGGGGTACAAGGTAGGTGCTGTGTTTATAAGTAACAACTCACGATTTTCTTGAACTTGTCCACACCCGATCCAAGTAACCAATTGGTTCATTATTCGAAGCCCAAGCCCGCCCATTGTCTTTATTTTTAATAAGTCAAAAAATAAAGGTGGGTCGGGCAAGGGCAGGTCCCATTTGGAGTGTAATTTCAACCCGATATTCGTCTTAGTTTCGTCTTATCGAGACACCAAAAACTACACAAATGGACCAGTTTATTCAATACTGAATTGACAACCACCAAGAATCAAAACAAAAACGAGAAACAAAATGAAATTATTAAAATTTGTGAAACCGTCCAATTATGAAACAGCAACAACAGCGACACACCACACCACACCACACCACACACACACACGAGTTGAAAACTGGGTACATTAATACTTTAACGAGAGAGTAGGAACCGCCTTGAACGAGAGGTGGTTCTTAAGTGTCTTTCACTGAGCTTTATACTGCGACGAGCGCCTTGGGTTCTCGCTTTTCAACCTATTTTTCCCCTTTTCCATGCCGCAACCACTTGCTTGCCAAATTTGCTAAGACAAACCACACGATCCAGTGGGAGAAAGGAGAGCTATAGCCTTTTGTGTTTGCTACAATCGTTTTCTATATATACATATACATATAATATAATATATGTATCTTTAGTTTGAATTTGATACAACCCCGAGAGGCAAATGAGAAACACTAAACAAAACAAGAACTTTGTACACCGAAACGAATTCATAATAATCTAAAAGTGCATGTGCATAACGAGAACAAAGAATAACAACAACTAAAGGATAAACGAAAAACCAAATAAAAAATACAAAAAAAAAACTATGAAAACGAAAAATAAATGAACAAAATGAGCAACTACAACTATATTCTTATAGGCTTATAGTTTATACTTACATACACACATACAAATACTTATATACATAAATATTTATATATAAATATATATATATAGATATATATATCTGAGATCATAACATACATAGAAATACAACACCACATCCACATACATACATACATACATATATACATTCGAGTATAGTTTTTAATAAAACAAGAGGAGGAGAGAGTAATGGGAAAGGAGTCTCGGCGCGAGTCAATTTTAAACGCAAGAAAAGAATCTTAAAAATACGAAAAAACCAAGCGCAAAATATAAACAAAGAGTTACTTTGACGTTATGAGTAATGCAATTACATGTTTGAGAAGCGAATACTTACATAATTACACCACAAATTACACCAACTACACACCGGGCACGGCACAGACACAGACAACCATACAGACACTAAAACCGACACAGACACAGACACAGACAGACCAAGGACGAAGGCAAGTTTTCGAGGGTGGAGAAATGAACGAACAACTGCATAGTGTAGTCGTACGCGTAATTACTGGTGATAATTTTGAAAAAAAAAATCTAATACAAATCAAATAATATGTGTAATTTTAACATAAGCAAATGCTAGCACGTT